TCAGAAGAGTCCCTGAAGGTGGCAATTTCCCCCCTTCTGGCCCGTAAAAGAGTGGTCTTTTAGACCAGATGGGCAGGGTATAAATCAAATAAATAAATAAAATAAATAAATAAATTATGTGGATTGTCATTGACTGGTCTTTGCAGTCATTGGGCTCTTGAAAATTCTCTTTGGAATTTCAGCTTTTCTGATCATCTTTTTATACACAGGGAGATTTTACCGCTGCTGCATCAAACTTGCAGATCTGCTTGTCTGCCCTGGGGCGAGCATTGCCTGCCTCTCGTTTGGACCTGGCTTGCAGTCTGTCTTGGAATGTTATCCGTTACAGTCTTCAAAAATTGAGACTGGTGCGTTGGTTGTTGAAGCGGACATCATGGCAGAGACGTACAAAAGAGGCCCCTGCCGGTTTTGAGGATGAAGCCAAAACTAGTGCCCGTGATGCAGCATTAGCGTATCATAAGCTCCATCAGCTCCACATCACAGGCAAGTGAAAAGCAGATGAGGTTGCAGGTGAGGTTGTGAGTTCAGGATTTAGCGACCTAGGCATATCTGCTTAGTGCTGACTATAATAAGTACATACCTTAAACTCCATGTACCTGTATCTGGCGGTATAAATCAAATAAATAAATAAAATAAATAAATAAATTATGTGGATTGTCATTGACTGGTCTTTGCAGTCATTGGGCTCTTGAAAATTCTCTTTGGAATTTCAGCTTTTCTGATCATCTTTTTGTACACAGGGAGATTTTACCGCTGCTGCATCAAACTTGCAGATCTGCTTGTCTGCCCTGGGGCGAGCATTGCCTGCCTCTCGTTTGGACCTGGCTTGCAGTCTGTCTTGGAATGTTATCCGTTACAGTCTTCAAAAATTGAGACTGGTGCGTTGGTTGTTGAAGCGGACATCATGGCAGAGACGTACAAAAGAGGCCCCTGCCGGTTTTGAGGATGAAGCCAAAACTAGTGCCCGTGATGCAGCATTAGCGTATCATAAGCTCCATCAGCTCCACATCACAGGCAAGTGAAAAGCAGATGAGGTTGCAGGTGAGGTTGTGAGTTCAGGATTTAGCGACCTAGGCATATCTGCTTAGTGCTGACTATAATAAGTATATACCTTAAACTCCATGTATCTGGAGAGATCCCTTATTTCTAATGTGATGATTCAACAAGTAAAATAGAGCTTAGTTTTCCAGTGGTACTGGATAAGAAAAAGTTTGACTTTAAAATTGATTTTATTATATTCTGACGTTCAAAGTTATCACTATAATATTAACCAGGGTTTTGCCTCGTTGTGAGGTTATTGGGTTGTCTGAATGCAATGTGATTTCAGTAGCTGAAATGGCTTTCCTAGATAAAACCAGGAGGCATTGGTTTGTACAGGACACACCCTGGCATGAAATGAGTAATGCCATGTGCATCTAATGAAATCTATAAAACTTTATGTTGAATAAAACATTATCTTTAAACATAGACCTTTTCATTGCTGTAGAGAAATTACTCTTAGTTCTGATTCCTGATGCAGGTAAGCTTCCATCCAGTTCAGCCTACTCAGGATTGCACATGGCCTTGTGTGCTGTGAATCTGGCTGAATGCGCAGAGGAGAAGATTCCACCGAGCACATTAGCAGAGATTCACTTGACGGCTGCAGTTGGGCTGAAGACTCGTTGTGGTGGAAAACTTGGATTCTTGGCGGTGAGTGAATCTTTTTGAGCCTCCAGGCCAAATTAGATCAAGTAAGTATTGTGATGTATTTAAAGTGAACTTGCGGTTTTGCCTTTGGAACATAAATGGAAGGGGCTTTTGTGTTGATACATAATTACATTTACCTGGGATGTCTGTCCTTGTGACAAATGTGCACATTTCCCTTGCACTATTTTTACCCTAGCAATTGTTTCCTCCCAGAGTTATTTCTTAAGTCAAGCCCAGAGTGTGTGTAGTTCTGAGCGCAGTGCCATACCTGACTCCTTACGCTGGCTGTGTCACCCATTGGGTCAGAAGTTTTTTGTGGAGCGGAGCTGGACAGTGAAAGCTGCTGCCAGGGAAAGTCTGTATTGCACCCAGAGAAACCCAGGTGAGAGTCAGCAGGTTTGTGAAGGTATTGCCTTTAGGCATCTCATCTGTATTACTGGAAACTTACCAGGTGCTCGTATGCTGCCTTTCTTGAGGGTCTTGCTTGAAGTCTGTTAATGCTAATGTCTATTATCTAGTTAAGAGGACAGTTATATGATTGGATTCTTTCTGCAAGGCTGTTGCCTGTCTCAAAGCATAAGATGGAAAAAGGTTGCATATTAGTTTCTAGGGATGCATGCCTATTGTCAAGTGGCATTGGCTTTCATTCTTCTAGTTTCTTGTCCCTTGGGGAGACTTGTCTTAACTCCTGTAGCCTTAAAGGGTGTTCTTTATATTGATTTTGGATGTGTGAATAATGGAAGAACCAAATTGATTTATTTGTCATCAACAGCTGATCCCATTGCACAGGTGCACCAGGCATTCTGTGAGAACCTGCTGGAGAGAGTTGTGGAATCCCTTGTGAAGCCTCAGATTCCAAAGGGAGCTACTGGCCATGAGGATGATGAGCCATGGTAAGCTGCAGTCCCATCCTGCTGACAGTTTACTTCAAGAGCAGAGATAATGGTATTTCTGATTGTCTACACCCCTTTTGGTGTAGCCCAGTGTTGAAGAAAGTACAGCCAAAAAAATCTGCAGCTAGATGGAAGTGTGGTATGGATAACTCTATGCCAGTATCCACTTGTGATAGAATGCAAGCCTTTTGAGCCATAATCACTACATAGTACTAAAAAAAAAGTGCCAAAGCACAGTATTGCTAAGTAATACTATGACTGAATTGCAGGTAACATTGTAAGCCCTTCCTGAAAAGAGAGGCCTCTGCCCTAAGATTTCTGTGGCAACAGGTGCTCAGTCCTTCAAGGTCCACCAGTAAATTCTGTTTAGAGGAGCAAGGTCACAGAAAAATACTTTATTACTATGCTGGGTTTGTGAGTATTCCTTGGAAAGATGTAGATTTCCCCCCCCATCTGAATTAGAATATGAGTGCCGTAACTATTCTAAGAGCAAAAATAAGGTTGTTCAAAAACCTTTATGCCTGCCTAGTGAAATTTAAAGACATCATCTTTCTTATGAGTATGTTAAGGTGTGTATATTAAACTGAGTCTCTGTATGAACTTGCATTGTCTGTATTATTAAAAGATTAGATTGCATTTGTGCTTGCAGTGAATTCTTTAATGCTTTGGAATATCTGAAGTTGCTCAGTTCTTTTGTGGACTCTTTGGGAAGTGGAACACCACCTTTCACTGGAGATTCTGTATTGAGATCTGCTCTCGGTAAGTATGAAAACTGCTCAGTGTTCTCTCCATTTCTCTTCTCTCTCTTTCTGCATCTTATCCCATTTTACTCGCTTTATATCTTCACTGCTGAATTGCTTTTGCTTATCTTTTATTAATTTATTTGGAGCATTTTCATCCTGCATTTCAGCTGAAGAAAGATTCTCAGAGCAGCGTACAAAGATCAGCCAATAGTACAGTCCATGCCTTGAACTTTAACAATTTGAAAACATCAGAAGGAAGATTGAACAGTTAGGAGGAGGGAAGAAGACAAACTTGGACATTACGTTTTAGTTACAGAGCAGGCACTGAAACATTAAAAAAGAGGAGGAGCCAAATATTGCTAGTCTTTTAACAAAGCCAGTGGAATGGCTTTGTCTCCTTTTTCTCTTTTCCTAATTTGATTAGATACTCTCACTTTCAGTACCTCTCCAAAAAACCAGGTTGTTAGAACTTGACATTCATGAAAAGTATTGGGTAGGCCCATAAGAGCCTCTTATTTGTTTATCCCCGCATCTGTAGGTCCTGATGTGGTCTGCAGGTGGTGGTCATCAGCAATCACAATGACAATCAGCTGGCTCCGGGGTGACGATGCAGCCGTGAAATCGCAGTTTACCAATGTGGAACGAATTCCTAAGTGCTTGGAAATGATGGAGTATGTGGCTTTTAAAAATATTTTCACAACCTATCTTTCTTAGCCTAAATTATGAAAGGTACAAGCAAAATCAATAGTTTTCTTGAGCCCTATAGGTGTTCAAGCTGTCATAAACATGTAATAGAGTTATATCTGATTCTGTGGAAGTCCATTATTTCTTGTGCCTTCAGTTAATTTCACTTTCAAGGGGAGCTTTCCAATATTTCACAGTCCAGATGTACCTGTTAACAGGCATTGGTGTGATGGATGCAAAGAGACTGTCTCCCATATCATAAAGGTTTGCTTTGCCTTCTGTTTGTGCCATTTAATGTTAGTGTTTTCTAATAATTCTGATAGCAACACGAGAACCATCAGCGTTGTCACTGTTTGGTTTTTAATTACACATAAAAAAGAGGCAGGGTGCTCTTCAGTAGCCATGATACTTGGAATTGTCATGATAAATTTATCATGTTTATAACTGCAGTCCAAACACATCTTTAGCAATGTGAATTGGTTTTGGTGTATATCCTAATACTGTAGGTAGGGTGACTCTTGGCTTTGAGTGTTCTGGAATTGAAGTACCTCTCCCTAATAGAAAGATGCAGAACTTTCTGTTGCATTCCTACTAACCAGCTATTGAACCTTTTAATGCCAGATTCAGGTGACAGTCAGGTCCTTTTGGGAAGAGGCTGAAGAGGTCTTGAGTTCTTCAAGATCATTGAGAAGTCCTTTTCTTTTGAAGCAGATGAGTCTATAATCTCAGCATTCAAAAGGTGCTAACCTTGTCTGGCTATGTTCTTTCTTCTCCATTCCCCCGTTCCATCGTCTTCCTCCTAGGAATTCCCTTATGAAAGCTGTCTTCCATGTATGCAAAGCCATGAATGCCTCCTTGTCAAGCAAGGCTGATGGGCAGCAGAGCTCCTTTGCCCATTGTGAAAGAGCCAGCACTCATCTTTGGAACAGCCTCAACATGAGCAGTGGGGTCTCAAGCTCAGGTCTTAACAATGTAAGCACCGTGGTCTTTTGTGCCAGTTTTGTATTCGTGCTTGAACCAAGACTAGTAGGTGCATACTGGAAGACCTTGGCAATGGTACTTCTCAGACTGCAACTCCCAGGTGCCTGATTGTGCAAGGGCAGGGGGGGCTGGCAGTTATAATCCAAAAAGTGCCCTTCCCAAGATCTGATGTTCACTTTTCTGTGCGGAACTGAGATCTGTCTCATAACCTCTTGAAGCTAAGGAACGGCATTGTTGATTTGTGAGTGAAGAAAGAAGATTCCTTCCCCTCCTGCTTTCTTGTTTAAATTACTAGAGCTGCAAGAGTTTCAGTTTTCAAACTAGCAATTGAAGATCTTATCTGCATCCAAAATAAGTCAGGGTGTTTATTTGTCCCTTCCCTTGTGCCCTTTCATTATACTTCCTGGATGAAATGTTCATGTGAAAGTCATCTCCTGTGTCTGTGAAGACCTTGTGTCAGGGAGCTGGCTCATTCTTTATATCTTTATATGTATGTTTAGATTTCTCGTACTGTGACACAGAGAGGTACTAAAGTTCTGGTCCTACAGATGTCCTGGCTGGGTGGCAGCTGTAGTGCATTGTAGTTGCATTGCATGTTCTGGCTGTATTCGTGCAATGTTTCCGCAGTGCAGTACAGAGGCATGCCTTATCTCTGCATTACAAATGGAATGGTTTGAGCTTATCTGAATTGAGCACTGTGGTTTGAGATTTAGCGATAGAGGTGACATGGAGGTAATTTCTCAGCAACTTGAAATAAAAAGTAAAAAGGAAGCCATTTGATCCAAACCTCTGCCCAAAGGCAGCACTCTCATCCTCCAGTTATTTACATATGCATCAGTCTTCCTTCAGTTATAAATCAGTCCAACTGTTGGTGTGCTATAGGCAGATACCAAATACAGCAGATGATTACAGAGCAAATAGGTTGTGAAGATTTAATGAGGCAAGCTAAATCCTTGTTCTCATCAAGAGAACAAGCCACTGATATGCTTGTCATTGGTACTGCATTTTGAGTGTCCAAAGTAAGATGATAAAAATGTGTTCTGTTGGTTTGATCTGATAACAGAGGAAATAAACTTCTGCCACCAGAGACACAGCAAGATTATATTCTGTGGTTATTGATTTATTGTGCTCTCTTTTTTTCTAAGGGTAGATTCCTCAGATCACATAGCTTTATTTTGGTTTTTGATAATGTTGGATTGTTTTCCTTCCTCACCTTTGTTAGAACGCATTGTCAAGATCAGAGCAGCTAAATATTGTGCCAGTTAAGTGGCCAAATGATCAAGTAAAAATGGCATTGTATTGTTCAGCTTCCCATTGCTAATGGAATTTTTGGACAGTCTCCTGTCAGTTTACAATATCTTCAATTCAATATGATTATAGTGTTATCTTAATAGGATTTTCACATAGTTCAAATTTTTATTCCATTCCTAGAATTTAAAAACACTTTCAAAAATTGTTTTTTAAAAAAAAACTTAAAACATGTTATAATTACTTGCAGGTTGGTGGTAATGCATTACTAAAATATTTCTTTTTTTAAAAAAAGCCCTTAAAATAGGAAAATAGCCCCCAATATACTGCATGACTGTTAAAAACACTTGAAATAGTAAAGAAGGTACCTGATTAACTGCTTCTCTGTGTCCTTCGTATATTTCTTGCTGAGATTACACTCGATAATACTGTGAGACAAGTAATTCTGAGTGATGTGTCCTAGAGATAGGCACAAATTGCTTATTTGGCGGTTCTTGTCAGTTCATTTATTGGCCAAACAGGTGTTCTGTGGTTTGGCACCTCACCCCCTCCAGTGGGTGCCCACTCAGAGGCAGTGCCCAGAGGAGGAGGTGCAGGGAAGCTGGAGCACTGCCTCTGAGTGGGCACCCACTGGAGGGGGTTAGGCTGCAAAGTGCCAGACACATGTTCGGCTGATAAACGAACTGACACAAACTGCTGAACTGGCCATTCATGCCCATCTTTAATGTGTCCTTGTTGGGTTGCATCAAGAGAAGGATTTAGCCTCTCAGCTTTGTGAGTCTGATAGTTTTTAAGAACACATGTTCTCTTCTTAAAGTGAGAGAAAAATGAAATGACTGTGATTCTGCTAGTATTTTTAGGGGAACTTAAAAATACTTTAGCTACATGTATGCTGCTGTGCCTGCGACTGATAATTAAGGAATATTTTGATGCTGTAATCACTGAATATGGTTGTATCTTTGCAGATGATTCAGTTGCTTACTTGTGACGTTTTGCTATCCCTCCGCACCACTCTGTGGCAGAAACAGACAAATTCCAGCCAGGCTATAGGAGAGACCTACCATGCTTCTGCTTCGGAGCTGACTGGATTCCAGCGTGATCTTGGCAGCCTGCGTAAACTGGCCCATAGCTTCAGGCCTGCATATCGAAAGGTGAGGTCTTCTTGCTGGTGCAATGAAATGGTGTTTTCACTTACACCTCCTGTTTGAGCTTCTGTATACTTTTACAAACCAAAGGAGTAAATTGCCCATGTTCTACAACAGCAGTTTATCTGTGAAGATTCTCGGTCATCCACGTGAAATTATCTGGAAGTTGAGTCATGGCTAAACATGCTGCCCTTTCATCTGTCCCCAGGAAGATTAGGACCACACACACCAGAAAGACCACTGTTAACGGCCCATGGCAATAGGTGGAGACAGACTGCAGAGGTGTGATTTTCACTCACCCCCAGTCCTTTGTCCCTCTAACGAACCTGTTCAGACCAGGGAGAAATGAAACCATCATGGAGTTTATATCAGGGATCTCCTACCAACTCTCCTCAGACTTAAGAAACCACTTGGATGAGTAGTGGAACATTACAGCTTAATAAGAAAGCAGTTCAGTTGCCATGACTCAACTTCCAGATACAACAGCAGTTGTTTTGCATAGAAAGGCAGTGTAATGCAGTGGTTACAGTGTTGAACTGGGATTTGGAGGATCCAGGTTCAGATCTCCACTGGGCCACAAAACTTGCTGAGTGACCTTGGGCTAGTCATTTCTCTCAGTTTGGTCAAACTCAGAATTGTTGTGAGGAGAAAGGAAATCATGTACCGCCACCTTTAGATCATTGAAGGGAAAGGTGAAATATGAATGTAAAGAACAAATTTCTAACACTGTATTTGCCCTTGCAGTTTATCACTTTTTTTCTTACTGCAACTGTTCCTACTAGACATATATGAGTATTTGCCCTTGCAGTTTATCACTTTTTTCTTACTTCAACTGTTCCTACTAGACATAGGGGTATTCATATATAAATATGAATACCCCTGCACAGGTGGACATAACAAGGGTTATGGGCGGCTATAGGAGGTCTCTCCTATAGCCTACCACTCACCCTTCTGCAGGCTCCGGGCTCCCTTCCAGTCACTGCGGAGCGCCCAATTGGTGAGCCATTCTTCAACCTGGCAGGGAGGCTTGTCCCACCTCCTGCTAGGAGTGGCTGATCAAGTGGCTAGCGAGCTGTGGAGCGATAGGAAGGAAGCCTTGAGCCCACAGCAGCAGTGGAAGGTTGAGTAGTCAATCCGGCCCCATGTCCATCTGTGCAGGGGTATTCATATTTGTACATGGATACCCCCATCTCTAGTTCCTACTATTACAGGTTTTGTGCTTTAATATGTAGTTAGTTACATAGATAAGTGCTGTCCTTCATGATCTTGAAGTAATGAGAATACTCGATGTATTCATGAAGGCTTTAACAGCTAGGATCCAATGGTTATTGTAGGTTTTTCGGGCTGTTTGGCTGTGGAAAAACCTCCAGAACATGGCCAAACAGCCCGAAAAACCTACTAGAACCAATAGTACTTGATATTTGTATAGTTTGTTTTGAAGATTCACATCAACAGGTATGTTATGTTTCCTCTATAATCCTTATAACAACCCCATGTTGGTGTGAATGTTTTTTACATCCGTTTTAGAATCCCATATTGCTTGTTAGACAGTAGCATAGGCAGGCTGAGAGAAGAGAAGCTTGCGTCCAGGCCATGTGGTAGGTGTCTGAAGTGAGAATTTCTGTTGGAAGTTTCATGGATCACAATTTAATCTCTGTTCTACCATGGTTTTGGGAAGACAACATTATAGATGGATCTGTGGTAGTGTTCCTTCTTATGTTAACCTAGTTCAGCAAGATTTGACTACTGTGGTCCCTTCTTAAATGGCATTCTTATGTTAACCTAGTTCAGCAAGATTTTACTACTGTGGTCCCTTCTCCATACACTCTTGTTAATCCAGAGAGATGAGACTATTGCAATACAGAAGGAAGGAAGTACACTGAATAGGATAAACAGTTCTTATCTGATCTGGTTAGTACACCTGGATGTATGGACAAGCTTTTGTTCTCCAGATGTTTCACAGTTCACTTTTCAAAAACCACAGCTGTCGTGGCCAGTAATTGATAAGGGGCGATGGAGTCTTGGTCCTAAACATCTGGAAGGCCAAGGTTTTCCCTTGTTGATGTTGCATGTGTAATGTTACGTGCCAAAAATCCAGAGCAGCATAAGGCAACTTTGCAAGGTTATCCATTCTTATCTGCCTTTTTCTGGCTTCCAGGTTTTTCTGCATGAGGCTACAGTGCGCTTGATGGCAGGAGCTAGCCCCACACGCACCCATCAGTTGCTGGAGCACAGTCTCAGGCGTCGGAGTCCCCAGAGCACCAAGCAAGGCAAGTAATCTCTCATGTCTGTGGATTTCTTGCCCAGCTGTAGGAACTGGTTTTCTTGTTGAAGTTGGGCTATACTGCATGTATATACATGGAGCTGTTTTCAAGGACTGGTTTTCTTTCTTTTAAAATACTTTCTTTTTAAACACCATCTCATGTACGGTAGCAGGGTGAAAAGCCTTTCCTCCCATCCCCTCACTGCTAATGATAAAACAACTAAGTGAAGTGCAAGTATATTCTCACTCAATCTCTTACCATCTGATTGATAATGTCCAGGGGAAAAACCCTACCTATATATCATTTCATCGTGCATCTTCATATTGCAGTTAATGCTGCCATTCTAGTCTGTAATTACCTGAAACCATCATTGACACACTGAATAAATGGATAAGAGCTTAAGTAAGAATTGTCTAGCTTTACTTTTCCATTGTTCATTAAGATAGGGTAAGATAATTTTTCTTTTATATTATAAACCAAAATTTTCTGTAAACATTGACAATGAGTAATTGTAACCATTTTTTTAACCTTCGGGGTATTCTGAAATGAACTACTACTGTTGAATTAGTAAGTCCCTAAAATGCCTAATAATTGAGTAGTCTCACTATATATGCCAGTGGGCAATCTTAAGAATTTATTTTCTGATGCAAATGGGAGGATAGGTTGTAGATGTGTCCTCCCATGTGCATTAGAAAATAATTTCTTAAAGGCATCTGCTGACATATAAGGATAAGAGTCAAAATAGACGCAACCTTTGTCTTGTGATTTTGGATTAGCATGCATATTTTTAAAATATATATACAGTGGGGTCTTGACTTGAGAACTTAATCCGTATTGGAAGGCGGTTCTCAAGTCAAAAAGTCTGTAAGTCAAGTCTCCATTGACCTACAGTGCATTGAAAACCGATTAATCCCGTAACAGGACGTTTTTGTTCCATTTTGTTTTTTTTCCTGGTCTGTAAGTCAAATCTCAGTCTGCAAGTCAAACCTAAATTTTGCGGCCAGAGAAGTCTGTAACTCAAAAAGTCTGTAAGTCAAGCCGTCTGTAAGTCAAGGGTCCACTGTAGTAGTTAACATGGAATATAGTTAACATGTTGTAGTTAACATGTTGAATATAGACTATTGTAAAGGAAGGTTTAATAAATTGCTTTTGCAATTACAATCCTTTCACCATGTCTATTACATGTAGCAACATATCTGTAGTGAACACCAGGAGTAGAGGAGCTAGGCTATCAAAAATAATAATAACATTGGAAATCAAGGACAGTAGCCATGTTAAGCCAGTTGCAACAAAAATAACACAGCTTCATGACACTTAAAGGCTAATAAATCATCCTTGGCATCTGCTTTCATGGACTCCATCATTAGAATCGGAAGAAGTGGAGCTTATTAATGAAGCTTATGCTAAATAAAATTTATTTGTCTTTAAAGTGCCACAAGACCTTTTCTTGGCATGGATCTTCAAGACACCAAAGATTTCATGGTTTTCACATTGCGACCTATTTCATCTCTCTTTCCTCACTATACCTGCCTGCACCCTCCAAAAAGTCTCCCCAAAGTGTCAGGAGATACTCCTGCACGATGTGGCACAGGAGTATCACTCATAATCAAGCAGCAGGAAGAGGAGTTAATAAGAAACTTTCAGAAAGTTATTTCAGTTTACAGATTGTAGAATCTATGGCAGCCTGTCTAAAATGTTTCAAAAGGAATGCCATTAAGATGTTCACTAGCTGACATCTAAGATTGCTACTTTGAGAAAAACAAAGACTTGTAGCAGACAGTGTGGGCCTGTCTGTAGCAGAGAGGATAGGGCTGCTAAGTCTGGGATGCTGGTTAAATTTCAGCTTGGAGCATCGCAACTTCCAAAATAAATTACTGCTTCCTGTTCAGTGTGAGTTGTACATTGATCCTTACACTCAGTTGTACAGCATAACTTACAAAGCAGTTTTTTATTGCCCCAGCATAGCCTGTGTTTAACTGACTACTACTGTGCCCTTGCTGCTTATGGATGTTCAATGAATATTCTCAATCATGTGACCTTCATTATAACACTTTTTCATATCTAGGTGAGCTGGATGCATTTCCTGGGCAGAGAGAGCGAGCAACAGCAATTCTTTTAGCCTGCCGCCACCTCCCCCTTTCCTTTTTGTCTTCCCCTGGCCAGCGAGCTGTCCTGTTGGCAGAAGCAGCCCGCACACTGGAGAAAGTTGGGGACAAGCGTTCCTGCAATGACTGTCAGCAGATGATTGTGAAGCTGAGTGGTGGCACAGCTATTGCAGCTTCATAACCTAGAGGATTGCAACCTTATCATCCCATGGACTAGGATTCATACCACCTTTATAATTCCCTCTTCCCTTTTTCAATGTTGTTCCAGATTAGGACCATGGACATTGTATTTTTTGTTAATTGGAGTAGGAGCTTGGTGGAAACTACCTTTAGTGGCTAGTGAGCTTGCCTCTCTAAGCAAAAAGGATTGTCCACATGGGCAATAGACAGAGATTTGATTTCCATGGGAAAACCTGGAAGATCTTGGAAGAGAGAAGCCTTTTTGAGGAGAGATTGGGTTCAAAAACCTTCCTTTTCTTTTTCTTTTCAAAACAGTCTACACGAAGAACATGGTTGAGGTTTGGCGTTTACTAGAGGATGAGGTGAGGTGCCTTGTACTTTCCCCCTAGCATCTGTAGTGGCTCTTGGTCAGTTGTTGAGATGCCAACTGCATGGAGCTGGGGCCTAGAGAATCTAGCTGTGTTTTAACTTTGTTGGCCCTTAATGGGCTGCATTTTTAAACTGAAGCCTTTGTATACCTTTTGCCTTTTCTGAGAGCCTTCAGGGCTTAGGCTAGCTCTCTTGAGAAAGTGCATCAAAATTTCTATGCCGTTGGGTTTTTTAAAAATAGGAATAGCTGGATCTCTCTTGCCGTTTTCTGTCTCCTGCCTTTCTCCTGGGGTGGATTTGATTTAAATCATGATTTAAATCACAATTTAAATCTTAAAAATCAGTTTTTAAAAAAGATTTAAATAAAAATCAGTTTTTATTTAAATTGTGATTTAAATCAATTTGATTTTAAAAATCACTGATTTTTATCCACCCTGCTTTCTCTTCTCATTTTGTCTCCTTTTAATGAACAGCTATATTGTCATTAAGTTAGGAGTTGAGCATTGTTTTTATGATGTGTTAAATAGATGAAAAGGAGGATCAAAGATTCAGATGCAGAATTAAATGTGATTTAAAACATTTGATTCAAAAATGTTTTTTGATAGACTGTATCTCTACTTTGGCCCATGAGGATTAAATCCTTCCCCAGGAGAGTTTTGCTGCTGTCCCTCTCAGAATGCTGTTATTTGCTCTGATGTTTTTTAATTTTAGCAAAGAGTACCTGGAGCACAACATGGGGGAGAAAATTTGTGTAGTGCTGATCAGTGAACTTACAGCAGGTTTTTATAAACAAAAGAGATACTGTCAGCTGAAAACATTTTTGAGTTACATGATTGAAGTCATCAACTAATTACCCTGAAGAAAAAGCATACTCAAAACCCCATATGTTGATATGTTGTCATTATTCCCAAAACTAGTCGATGCATACATATATGTTTAAGAGAGCAGACAACAGAAGTTCTAGAACATGCCTGTCTCGTCAAGCTAAGCCAGTGTTTCCCAAGCATGGGTAACCCAGGTGTTCTTGGACTGCATCCCCCAGAAGCCCCAATCAGCACAGCTGGTGGGGAAAGCATCTGGGAATTGCAGTCCAGAAATACCTTGGTTCCCCAAAGTCACGAAACACTGAGCTAAGCCATTATGGCCATGCTGTTTTTTTTTTCTTTTTTTCTTTTGGAGATCCTTTGGGGAAGATTTTACAGTTCAACAATGGTGTATATATATTTAGACCTGCCTTGGACAAATGTAAATGGCTGAAGATGGTTTCCCTTGCTGGTAGAATTGGTTCAAAGAGTTTTAACCAGAAAAGGTGATTTTCCCCTCAGCTTTGGATGTTGGCTCACATGGTTAAGCTGAAGCTTAAGTACTTACAGTACTATCTTGCTTTAGTGTGAGTGCTTCCTAGTGATGACATCCTAATGATGTTGGCAGTGGTGCTGGAGAGCAAAATGGTAGGTGAACATGTCTTAACTGCAAAACCATGCCTCCAGTGGAGATTTTGCTGATTTGTCTGGAAAGTCATCAGTCAGCCCAGGGTCATCAGCATAGAGCTTCTGTGAATTGTGAGAGTTAGATGAAATAAGTATATCTAACCCTAGCAAATCCTTTCGCCTGGAAGTTCCCCTGACAAATAATTAATCCTCTGTGATCAGCCTTCTAGAGTAGTTAATGTACTTCAAAATGCATCTCCTGTTGCGTTTATGGAGCACTAGGCATCTCACAGCTCAATAGATCTGAAGCCGTTAAAGCCAGGCATGTAAGTTACCAGGAATATGCATTGCAACCCCGTGTTGAAACCTTTAGTTAATGCAGCAAGAGGTGCTAGGGGTGAGACGTCTAGGTTGTTGATTATACTGGGGTCTTCACAAGGGAGTCACCCTAACTTTTCATGTACTACTGGCATTTTTTGTACATTTATTTATGGGTCCATTGTTTCCTGATCAATCTCTGTATTTTTTTGTGTATATAATGTAACTTGTTTTTTTATATATATGATGTGAAAAGTATCTATTTATCCCAATAAAATTAGGCATAGGGATGATTTGCTTTAAGAAGAAGGTGTAGTTGGTGATAATATGAGAGAGGTCCAAGCGTTACCCTCTCCTGGGGATTCTTGTGTGACTTACCTAATAAAGAAAATTGTAATCAAAGTCTATACTTCTTATTAATGAATGAACAATCCTTGAATGGTATTGTGTCTGTAGCAAAAGCTTAATGATTTAAACTTTCTTCTCTTAATGGCTTCTAAAATTCCATCAAAGTGGTGTGATGCCCAGTGGCATATATTACATTGTTTAGATATTGTTTAGGGGTAATTGGCATTTCCTCTGGCATACAATAATCTTAATGATCTGCTGAAGTTTATTTGGTTATTCTAGGGGAATACATAAAGGGAGACCAAGGTTAGACATTTTGGTTAGCTGCGCCATGTATTTCAGCAAGGGAAAGGACTTGTAAGAGAAAACCTATAGTGAGATACATGCCATGTGTTTCACAGAACTATGGCTGAGAGTCTATATAATCAGATGCCATAGCAAAAAATGGTAGGTGCTGGTAATCATACTGCTTAAATGTATCTGAAAGATAAGCATGGTTTTGTACCTTAAAACCTTACTTTGGAGTATTATATTTCATTTTTTTCCACCTGTATGAAACACTTTTCATCCATAAGGATACCAGGGCAGAGTACACAGGATTTTGAAAGTACAACTGCAATATAAAACATTATTTTAAAACCATAGAACTCTTCAACAATTAGTTAAAAAGACCAGTTAGAAACTCAGAATTTAAATGTTAAGAATTGTGTAACAAGATTTAATATTTTTAAGTGCCTGGGAAAACAGCAGTATTTTAATTTCATGTCAGCTATGTTTCATGGGAAATGTTGCCTAAAGTAGGGAAAATGAAATATACTTATAAAGATGCACACATAGAGAAGAGCCCCATAGTGCAGTGGTTAAGCTGCAGTACTGCAGGCAAGCCCCTGCTCATGACCTGAGTCAGTTCCTTCATTTGTTGTTAACATATTTTTAATGTCAGGAATGGGGAGTGGTGCTTTAGGGATTTTCTGCCTCTTATACGAAAATATGTTAGCTAGCTTTGTGTGTTATGTATGTTGACATGGAACTGTTGTTTCTTGCTCTGTCTCCAGCAGCAAAATATCTTGGAGGACGAAGGGGAGTATTGTTTATCCAAAATTACAAGTCACGGTCTGTGACAAGTATTATATAACAGATACAGGTTTTAACCAAAACCCTAAGTATCAGTTAAATATTGGTACAATATGTATGCTGTTCCTAATATTACTGGGTTTTTTTACAGCTCTGACAGTGTTATGTCAGAGATCTGCAGCTGATTATAATATTTTATACAATTCCACAGCAGCATTCCCAATGCTCCAGTGGTTATAGAGACTACTGAAATATACTGTAATTCATCCCAAAGTGAGTGGTTTCTATTTCCAGGTCTTTTATTAAAATTAAATTTTCCAACTTTTTATCTTCAACTCTGGCATCCCCTGGAATTGCAATATCAGTTATCCAGATATTTCTTTGTTTTATTATTGTTACGCCTGGTGTTATCGTCGTCGTCTTCTGGACAATGTTTCATATCTGAGATTAGGTCTCAGGTAGTGGAATTCAGAGCTTTTTGATGTTCTGTATGTGGTTCAAGATGTGGTGGTGCTGCAGATTAAACCGCAGAAGGCTCTGTGCTGCAGAGTCAGAAGACCAGCAGTCGTAAGATCGAATCCACGCGACGGAGTGAGCTCCTGCCACTTTTCCCAGCTCCTGCCAACTAGCAGTTTGAAAACATGTAAATGCGAGTAGATAAATAGGTACCACCTCGGTGGGAAGGTAGCAGTGTTCTGTGTCTAGTCACACTGGCCACGTGACCATGGAAACTGTCTTTGGACAAACGCTGGCTCTATGGCTTGGAAATGGGGATGAGCACCACCCCCTAGAGTCGGACACGACGGGGCTAAATGTCAAGGGGAACCTTTACCTTTACCCTTTTATGTGGTCTGGACGTTATAGGAAGCATCTTCAGTGCCACTCTGCAACATAATAAGATAAAAGATTATTATTGCAGAGATCTGAAAATTCACAAGTGCATAACTACAAAGAATGGACTGTTCTTAATTTTATTTTCGTATTGAACAGCAGAGGGCAGAAGTTACTTACCAAATCAGTAGGTCTACCAAGTTCAATTGAGACCATATTTTGCCATGCTCCAAGGGAAGTTACTGGGGAAGGTAGACTGAGTTTTCCTTGCACCTCATGTACCTAATCTGAATGAATATATGCCACATTCTTTAGGTCTTATATGAGAGATGGGAATCTAAATTGAGTAGGCCAGGTTCTGTCTTCATGGATACCTTTATGTGCACTAATTATTCTTGATTTTGTCCCTTAGTGTGCCTTCATGTCATGTTCCTTCTTTTTTTTCTTTCCTCATCTCTGGCTAGTGGGCTTCCTGTAATTTAAATTCAATTTTGGGGGGGAAAAAAACACAACTCCATTTTATTAGTGTGGGATATTGTGCTTCTGTACCCATGATTCAGTAAGCCAGGGAATGGCCCAGTCATGCTGCACAACATCGTTCCTGCGTTGCCAGCAGGAAAAAGGATGGCAAGCTTTACATAACAAAAGAGCAGCCTAAATGTTGACAGCACCCAGGGCAGCAGTCTAGGTGGGTCTACAAGATACCGTCTTGTGTTCACACCATTCACAAAGTGATACGAAAAAATGGAAAATCCCAGAAGGAGACTCCTTATCAACTACTTCTCACCCAAACAAAGCAATTGTCGGGGCTGTTTTTCAATAAGTGTTTGCTGTTGATGGTGTGGTGGGCTTGGAATTTCAGAGTTGTGCTAAGTGATGCTTCTGTAGGGGTAGATTAGAGCTACAAGATAATGGAAGAGATGTCTTGGAGTATTTTATTTATTTATTTTATATCCTGCCTATCAGGTCTTGCGACCACTCTAGGCGGCTTCCAAATACATACATAAAAACGACAAATAAGTATAACACAAACATTATTACACTAAATGACAAATTCTACAAGATGGGAAAGAATAAAAAATAAAAAAATAAAGAAAAAAGATCAAATATTGACTGGAGGGAAGGCCAGCATAAACATCCATGTTTTTAATTGGTTTTTAAAGATACCCAGCATAGGATACTGCTCCAAAGTTTCTTTTTAATAACCTAGTTAGTTTCTGATGTGAAATTACTTGTGTTCTCCCTGTGTCTTTACATAAACTGAGTTCCAAAAAGCTATTTTTTCCTGAATGTGTGAGATTTTGAACAGAACACCACTACCAAGCAGGAAGTGTGAGTACATACAGCAGATCAATCATAAATGATGCTTGATATAGAGAAAGTGAATAGAGACAGGCTTTTTCCTGACTAGCAGCAGGGTGGGGTCATCCAGGGAAGCTGAATAGTGGCTCATTCAGAACAAGTGAATCATTTCACACCATCCATAATTAACATAAAGAAGTTGCTGTAATAAGCACTGGTGACAAGACTTCCTGTTTTATTTCATGATGTCTTTATGCTGGCTCTATATTCAAAGACAGTACGTATGTTCGAATGACAGTTGCTGGAGAAGAGATCTGGCACCAGATATGAAGCAGGTACCCTTCTCTTTCCACACTTCCTGGGCAATTCATTGTCCATCCAGTGTACAGTAAACCTGAGAGACGACTTGCAACAATATATCACTTCTAGGAGAATCCATTTTTCTCCCAGATACTGGGATTTCAGTTAAACTTGGAGAGAACAGACAAGCATGAGGGTCTGTCTGGCAAGTGGTGTCATAGTTCCTGCTATTCAGAAAATCTTAGGGGTTTGATACTTTGAGCCTTTGCTCTACTACAGTACTGCTGATGTACTGAAAATCAATCTGGGGACAACTGAGTGAGGGGAGGAGGCTGAATTCAGAAGTCCCATGGATATGTGCTCATAATCTAGAATGCTTCTATTGCTTTGTTGCTTTTAAATCTTCTTAGTAATGCTTTTATCTACTATTTTTATACAGTATTTGTTTAATTGCTTTAAAAATTTTGAATCTTCTATTGTTTCTATTGTTTAAGGTTGTTTCCGTCTAATGATGTAAGCAGCCTTGGGTCCTTTTTAGAAGAAAGATGAGGTAAAAATCTTAAGTAAGCAAACAAGTGCAGAAATGTCCAAATTGAAATTACTGAGGGTTTTTAGCAACAGTGGATACATGCAATCTCCCAGTCTGCATCATGCATCCTTCTGTAAGCAATCTGTTCAGACTTCTACCAAGGGGTGTGTGTTCCTGTCTGACAGACCACTGGATAGAAGGGGAGGAAGAGTGTGGCTACCCTGCTGCAGGCATGTGACCAAGAAGCTCCTGCCCCCATATAAATTTGATCCCCAGCTGTTTAAAAAAAGGTTCCCTATATGTGCTGTCGAGGATCCCCATGCTCTGATTCCTTTGGTGTGCATGCTGTCCTTGGTCAATTTTCTTCAGGCCCGCCTCTCAAGTGTAGCTACCCACACTTCCCACCCACATTGTGCTAGTTCACTGGCCTTAGACTTCTCACTGTTGACTGCTGCTGTCTCACAGTAGGAAGAAAGACACAAATGATGCAGAGAGACTGTCTGATGGCAGGTTTCTGCCCCGTCTCTTAAGCTGGACCTGCCTCTTAATTCCAGAAACACATGGAAGCACTTACTGTGCACCTTACTTTAAGGCACAGAGACCACAAACAAGCATACCACTTGGATTGGAGCAAGGGCAAGAGATCTCTTCCATCGTATTCCACCCCGCCCCTAGATTTGCTGCACTGCGAAGCATTTCATTCCTGATTACCAGCCTTGCAAAGGAAAGTGTGCTACTTAAAGCACACTCTGCGTGAGTTATAATTATGCAGACTACACATTGCCCCAACCCCACCGACCTGGGTACTCAGTTTACTGAACCTCTGAATGATGGAAAGCTGAATCAAGCTTGAGCCATCTAACTGAGCCTAGGATCAAAATCAGGTTGTGAACAGAGTCTTCACAGCAGCACTGCAGTTCAACCACTGCCCCCCACAAGCCTCCTGTAGGCTGGAGAAGAGCAAGAGGGCCCCTACCCCACATTAGAGAGAAGAGAAGCAGCAGATGCAAAGAAGATTTAAGGCAGGCCTGTTGTGCCTTTTAACAGAAGCAAGACTAGAGATAGGATTCTCAGGCTAGGATAAATGAAAATGGAACAGGCACTAAAATTTATTTTTGCCATCTTCTGTAGCTTTCAGGAAGAGAGCCTCAGAAGTACCAGTGGTCCCTTTTGACAAATGAGTGGGACAGAGAACATTCATGTTTCTCTCATTTATTGCTTCCATTCCCCCGATGTGTATAAAAATCACCTCACACTGACATTCCAACAGCTCACTTGCCTCACTTTCATTGCCCAGTGGCCACTGCTGCTATGCACCTCCCTGTCCAGCTGGCCCCTTTCCGCCCCCCTTCCCACCATTGGTGCGATGCACATCCTTTCCCTTGCCTTTCCCCCCCTCCAAAAGAAACCACAAGGAGTCAAAAGAGGCACCCGTTTCGTAGCAAAGAAGAACTGAAAACATGAGGCACCACAAAGCGCCCCTGCACTGAATCAAGGATGAAAGTTTCTGTTGTGGACATTCTTAACGCAGAGCATTCAGAAGCTGAACTGGTAAAATTTGCCCTTGTACTGAAACAGCATTATGAGGCAGGTCTTTTCTGGTTGTTTTTCTGCCTGCAACACAATTGTTTTAGGTAGGAAAAATTATGGTAGCCAAAATAGCTCTTTTGGACAGAAACAAGAAAAAGTTATTTAGTGTTTATTTTTTTTATTATGACATTTGCTTGCATGAGCTCCAATATGTAAATCTGTTAGTATTTTGCTGTCAAAATCAGCATAAATATCTGGAGTTTAAGGGTGTCGAACATCTTGGAAATGATGATAACATGTCTGGGCTTTTTTCAATACACACATAGCGTTTTTTAATAATTATGTAGCTGCTGAGTGGTACATTTTGGGATTAATTATCAAGTTGTTTTTCCCTTGTAGCTCTGAGGTGTCTCCCAGGACACATTCCCCCCTGGAAATCTCAGGCTATATTTTTATGGATCTAATGCAGCAAAATCAGACAAAATACAGTTGAAGTTCCTTAAATGTGATGGTGAGATGTGTGCTCTTCTCCAGGGGCTAAGCCAACGTGAGATGACAGGCAAAATTAAAATATGGTTACTCTGATTTGTGCCATTCTGTCAAGTCCACAGCAGAGTCATGTGACAGAAAGACATGGTGAAGCAACATTGTCTTTTACAAAGTAGGCAGTAATGGAGTTTGTGAAACCTTCCTCTTGTCACCATTGCAAAGTGCACCTTTCCAACAGGCAAAGAAATTTCTGTACGCATTTTGAAATCTGCAAAGCCTAAAAGCCATCTATTTTTCATTCAGTTGGAAACAGATCCTGAAATGTTGCTGTATTTAGTGTTGCTCCCCCAAATACTATTCTCACTATCTTTCTTGACTTCTTGCTAGAAATTATCTGTTATTATACCTATCTCATGTTTAAAACAACCAGCTGAAAGGAGAAAGTTGGCTCTTCCTTCCTGCAATGATGGCACCATTTTTGTTCCCCCTAACAGTAGATGCTGCTGCATCCTTGATAATACATCAGATTAAGAGATCATCCTGAGCTAAATGGTTAGCATCTCTTGCAAAGGTTGTATCATGACAGAGACATCCTTGACCATCAGTTGCCACATGACCAAGAAAGAGAACTAGATAACTTGCTTCTGATCTATTCTTTATCTAAGAAAAAGCACATTCTCTGCATGCACCAGGCTCTGTGAATTCATGTGTCATCAGTTTTTTATCTGTAATATTGTTTCATCTAGAAATAGAACAGAAATCTTTAATTGCATGCCATTTTCTTACTGTCCAGAAGGAAATAGCAAACTCAAGACTGAGCAGCAGAATGCTAAGATAGAGATGCAACAGAGGACTGGGGATGGTAGTGCTTCAGCCAATTGACATCTCAAATAAGGAACCTTTGTCGTGGAAAATCTCTGGTTACAACATATTAAACATAAATATTTGTATGGGCTAATAGCTAGAGCTAGATCAAAAGAAGGAGAGTAGATTTCTTTCCACAGTGGATATAGATGCGTAAAAAGCATGGCTGCAATCCCAGTCATACACCGAAGGATGAAGCATGTTGCATCTAGATCTTATAACATCATATACTAAGAAGAACGGAGAGCTATGAAAAGTGATTTTGGATTACCAGAGTCCTCCAGCCGGCATAATCAAGAAAAGATGCTGTGATAGATTGAATGATGGAATATTTCAAGAACCAGTATGCTTTTTTTCTTGTTAAATGTAAAATAAAAACGGCTTTCTGATCTAAACACTCACACCTCTTACCTTGGTTCTTTTGATGTCAGATCAAGCCCCTGATAGCAAAAAGTAGACTTTCCAGCCCCTGACTAAAGAAGGCTCCCTGGAGAATGTCACTAATGAGGTATACAGAATGAACAAACATACACCCTTACACACCAACAGACACCATTTGTGGCTGCATTTCAGTATCTGTATGATAGGTGCCTTGTTCTAGCTTTTCTCACAATTTGATGTAAAATATCCTCTCTTGAGCAATGCCCATGTTTTATATATGGTCCACGGTCATGGTGCATGGTGGAAGGCAAAACATTTTGGTAAGCACAGAAGATTTATATGCAACAAGAAATATTAACAAATGGCCTTAAACCAAGAAAAGGATCACACTTTGAATGAAGGGAACTATATACTGTATATATTTCTTTCAGCCCTTTGTCAGTTCCCTTTTGAACAGTTTCTTTCTGCTTTCCTTTTTGCTCCCCTCTGCCTGTTTGTTTTGCACTCATCACTGGGAAAGGCAGAGGAGGATTGTATTACATGGGAAATATTGTTCAAACAGGGTGAACTCAATTATTGCAACAGTTTATCTTGTCTTTTGTCTCTGCTCTCCTTGTTGGGGGGCTGGGAAAGGCAGAGGAGGATTGTATTACAAGGGAAATATTGTTCAAACAAGGTGAACTCAATTATTGCAGCAGTTTATCTTGTCTTTTGTCTCTCTGCGCTCCTTGTTGGGGGAAAAGGAAGCTCCACACGCTCCCCTGCTTTGATGAAACTCCATGCAGAAGGGTAGTACAGTCCTTCACATCGCCTGCAGGATGCTGACCATTCTGGTGTAAATGTGATACGATAAAGTGGTGAACTAGAAACAACAGTCGTGCACCAAATCATAGGGCAACATGCATGTCAGTTTCACCATGCATGCTGGGCAAATTCTGTCAGGATGGAAGAAAAACTAAAACAAGACCCACAACCCAACACCAGAGGGCCACACTAGATGGGCAAATTCTGTTAGCAGCTTTGGATGGCTTGATTTGTACTGGTGGCCACTCATCCTTCCTTTATCTTTTCCCAGTTCCTTCAAACAACCTGGCAGTGCCAGTGCAGAGAAGGGAGGAGCTTGCATTCCCCTCCTCACAGGCTGCTTGAAGATTTTAGAGTAATGGACAAATATAGAAATGTGAGGCAGGCCATGCTAGACGGTCACTTCTGTCTTGCTGTTAGTGGAAAAGGGCCGTGGTTGGTGGCCATAGTGGGTGGGTGTTTGGCTGAAGACTTCAGGCAACTTCTCAATACTGAACTGGCGCTTGGTGGTGTAGGCCTGTCGTCGAAGGTCAGGGTGACTGTGGTCCCAGCCGCCCTTGAAGGCAGGGCTGCCTGCCAGCGTGTGGGCATTGGTTTTCATCATCTTGGCCTTCTGTCCTGGTGTTGCCAAGCCAATCAGAGCACAGCCATCCTGAAAAGATGGAATGTCTTTCTGGTTTATCGTCAAGGAAGCAAAGGGGATAGTGCTTGACGGTGGCATGTCCACCATGGGAAACCTCTTGTAGAATTCATCAGGAGCAGTTTCTAGAGCAGAATATATGAAACGGGGCAGAAAATGAAAAAGAAACATCCTTAAATTGTCATCACACAGCATTTGGCAGCTTTCCTGGCAGTAACCTCCATTTTACTAGTCTTTTATAGTTTAGACATTCTATTTGTATCACAAGATTAAGAATAAGAATTGACTAACTAGACCTCTACATAAACCACAAACAAAAGAAATATGACCTGATGAAGCTATGAAAAATGGAATTCTACGACCAAAAAAATATGTACCTTTGGACAAAGATCTAAATGCAGTTGCTGGAATCAACTAAAGAAGAGTGATGGGATCAATATGATACTTGCCTTACTTACATCCTGTATCATGTTCTACGTGAGGCTGCCTTTGCAAAGTGTCCAGAAACTTTAGGAGGTCGAAAACACTGCAGCCAGGTTGTTAACTGGGGCTGGTCAAAGGGATGACATAACTCCCCCCCCCCCCCCGGTTACAGCAGCTCCACTGGCTGCTGATCTATTTCTGGACACAATTCAAAGTACGGGTTTTAAACTACAAAGTCCTAAACAGCTTGGATCCAAGCTAATTCAAGGACTGTATCTCCCTTTATGAGCCTGCCTGGGTGTTAAAATCATCAGGAGAGGCCTTTCTCTCAGTCTTACCATCTTCACAGATGCGTTCGGTGGGAACACAAGAAAGGGCCTTCTCTGTCGCTGCTCTCAAGACTCTGGGACTCTCTCTAACTGGAGGCCAGTCAGGCTCCATCTTTGCTGTCCTTCCTCAAGCAGACAAAGACCTTTCTCTTCAGACAAGCTTTCCCTGAGTTACTGACTATCTAAGAGGGGTTTTAAATGGAGTCTTATGTCTTGTTACCAATTTTTAGTGTGGTTTTTTGTTTGATTCATGTTAATATTTATATACTTATATAAATAAATAATATGTAACCACGACAACAGATTCATTGAGTCTACTCTACTTGGAACTAACAAATCAGTTTGGGTCAAAGTAAATACACATTACACAAAGTGCAATGCATAATTATGATAATAGATAAAGCATGCAAATCATATGATATTGGAAGAAAAAGCCAACATTGCTTTAAACAGAGTTCATCTCCAGTCCACATACATATGTACATGCACTGGCTATTCTCACACAGCTTTAGTTGAAAGCCAGGATGAGCAATTTGATTGGGTCTGGGGGCCAGTTGCCTCAAGAAGGCACCACAAACACACACACGCATACATAACAAACCATTGCTGCTGAGCTGCTGAAAGTCAGTGTCAAACTGCAAAACAAAATCAAAAACAACGTTTCCAACATTGGAAGGTCTTTCTCTAATCTGATACCAAAATTCAGCAGAACGATTGTGTGTGTGATGTGGCGGCGGGCAACTGGGACAAATGGGTATGGAAGAGTGGAGTCTTGACCACCTTTGGTTTAAAAGCTGATTTTCTGTGGTTCAAATGTGCCCTTGAGTGGTGTGTGTTCTCCATTCTTATTCCATCAATTTAGGCCTGCAGATCTCCTGCAGCTGTCTAGGAATACAAACACGTGTCTGGTTCTTGTTCAGCTCATGGCATACATGTTAATGGCCCATGGCTTAATTCTTTTAAAACCCACTCTAATGTGTGCGTAATAAGGGTGATTAAAGGGCGAGTAATCCACATTCAATTATTTTTGTGAGCAATCTTTAGTCATCCCTTCTGTATTCAACACCCCCACTACAGTGGGACTAAGAAGCATGATATGTTTGCTCCCCCTATTCATGTCGTTTTCATATTTCCAAACGTTTTAGCACTAGCCAGTGCTTTTCTTTTCTGTGATCACTATTATTCTCTTTCCTTCTCAATTCATTTAATCTTCTCTGGCATTAGAGAAATCCAGCAGTTTCTACCCAGCAAAGTAGAATATCAACAAAGTTGCAATTATGTCACCCCGTACACAACAGTGGGTGGGTAGAGAGAAGAGAGAGATAAGGAACAAGAATTGTGCTAGCTCGTTAGACCTCATGACATCTGGTGGGACATGCTGCCCGGTGGTGGAGGCACCTACCTACAGCCTTGAGCGTTGCATACTTGGTATAATCTGGCACCTGGTGTGGCATGGTGCTTGCGATTTGCAGCCGGTTGTTGTGTGTATGCGACAGTCCAATCTGTGGGATGGTGGCAGAGTTGATCACAGCATTGTTCAAATGGTTCTTGTCTGGAAGCAGAAAGAGGTGGCACTGACAGGAGAAGATGGGGCAGTCAAGCCCACCTACCTGAGTCTCCCTCCTGATGAATCCTCTGAAAAACTGATTTTAAAATACTTGTCCCCTTCGGATTATCCCCACCAGCTCCCATTCTGAGAGTTATTTTAGAAAATCTAAGACCATTAAGATAGCTCAAAATGCTAAATGCAAGCATGGTGTTTGTCTCCCCACTCCAACCATTTGCAGGGTGAGCCCTGCCATTAGGTATGTGAGGGAACTATGTAGGTGGCAGATGCTGGTGCTCAAGTCCCTTTGCCATTTCTCCTGAGCCCCCTGGCCGTTCCCCTCTCTTGGAGGACAACACTGTACATGTCACACAACCTGTCCTGTACACCATTAACTGGGCTGTTACTCTGAGGTATGGTGAATGATAATTTCCCTTCACATTACTGAAGTGCCTGGTCACACAGCCAAAAAACCTGGGATTTGACCTGTGTTATAAACTATGCTGAGCTTCACATTCACACAATGAATTCCAAAGTGGATATTTATTTTCCTCCAACTTGGTTCATTTTCTTAAGAAACTAGTTAAAATAAATGGCCACCAGAAGGCTGTTTATTTTTAGCACACTGTTTTCTGAACCAATTTAAGCCAATTATGAACCTTAGAGCCAGTTTTAAAAGGGAGCCTCTCCATGCATTTTTGGATTTTAAGAATCCAAGCTAAATGTATGTAGCCTATGTGAACAGATACATTAATCAGAAGAAAATAGCATTTGAGTTACTAAGTAGCAAAGCAGGAAATGACTCAAATACCACATGACTTGAGTCAGCTAAAATTAAAACAGTACATATTGTGGGTTTCAATTCCCAGTACAGTCAGCTTCTGTACATGGAAGGGATATCATTTCATCCTTTGCCTCAGATAGCAAAATGTATTGAGCTAACACTGACCATTTTTTACATTTTAGAAAGAAGTGAATCTACACAATGTTATCTGTTCCAGTACCAAATTTTTATTTGAGAGAAAAGGAATTCTAGTGATCCCCAGAAAAACAATATTGATCATTACAAGGAAAATGTCATTTTGTTTTGCCAAAGAAGAAACTGGATGAAATGGTCTTCTGTACAAAGTGTACTTTTCTCTCAATGGCCAATCACAAAACAAAGTAAGTTAATTTGCAAACTACAAGATAGTGAAAAGTAAGGGAGTGTCATTCGGAGTTTTCAGATTCCAACTTCCAAAATTCTCTAAGAAGTCCCCAGGCAGACTTCTGGGAGTTCCAGTCCACAAATCCACATGTACAGACACCTTTAGACACTCCTACATTCTGCTCACTTGGAGAAGGACCCAGCTTGAAGGCATCATGGTCTAGCTCTGCTTTAGTTTCCTGTTAAAAAAGGTAGCTGACCCAGTGCTACCTAGGAGTCCAAAGGTGTCCTATGAAATTTTGCTGCCCATTAGGCTCTATATTGCTCTGTATTCTCAGAGAATTCTTGGATTTGGAGTCCAAAAGATCCAAATGCCATTTTCTTAGCGAAAAGCTGCTACTGGGATGATTAGATTATCTTGACACTTAAAGAATTTCTTCTTCTCAAGACAGGCTAGCTACAATGTGAAGTTTGGTCCCAAGAGACAAACTACACATTGCGGCTAGTCTGTAATTCAGCCCTAAAAATCACACTAGACACAAGTGAATGCATGTGATCTGTCACATACCTTTCTGCGGTTGAATTTTTAAGATATCCAACCTTGGGGCAAGGGAAATGAATTGGACTGGGTTCGTGACAAGAAAAGGAAATTTCTTCGTTTTGCAAACAGATGTTCTCAGGGTGTCTGTGTGGGGAGTCTTACTGGAATGAGGTGGCACCCCCTCCTATGCTATGGTCTAGATGTGGCTCACACTTGACTCCTCGCACTACCTATTTTAAAACTGAAATCACCCCAAACTATGTGACAAATATCATGTCCAATTTGATGCTAACATGTCAGGCCAAAGCAATTTTTAAAGAAACAAAATAATTCTTGGTGATTTCTTTGAAGTTTTTGTGTGGTTTCCTCTCATAGGCTGTTCTGAGATTCATGGAAATGCAAGGCAGCACCAGAGGAGAGTTACTATATTCTTTTAATTTATGTGCATGTTCTAGCCCTATTCTCCTCTGCTCTGCAGCTGTCAATGAAACTTTTAGCACATATTTCCAAAGCATGCATAGGAAGACATGTAAGCCCTAATGAGGGATGTGGAGCATCACAGCCTAAAAAATAAATAATAATATTCATAGCAACATAACTGGTTCAATAGTTTAGCTCTCCTTCTCCAAGTCTGCAAGTGAACAACATTCCTCAGCTATTCAGTTAAACAATGTTCAAAGGTGACGGAGAGGGGCAGAGAGAAGTAGAAAGAGAGAGAGAGAGAGAGACTGGGAAAAGGAAATCTGTATTTAAACTGACTGGAACAAGTGTCATGAGCAAACGAGAGAGGAGGAGACAGCACACTCTCAACTGCCCAAGGCAGAATTGAGTCACGGTACAAAGGAAAAAGGAGAAACAGCAGCAAATCCTGTTTCCCCACCCTGTAAAACAACTGAAGTCATAGCAGAGAAGGACCACTGCCTACCAAATCTTTCCCACTCCCTTCACTACTACCAAGGTGATTTTGTATGGTGAAAAACAGGGGAAGGTGCATCTCCGTAGAGCTTTAGCTCTCTGTAGGGAGAGAGGATTGTTTTGATAGGGAATTATGCTATTTAGAAGTGAGGTATTTTACCAACATGAATTTGACCCAACTCCGGGAGGCAGTGGAAGACAAGAGAGCCTGGCATGCTCTGGTCCATGGGGTCATGAAGAGTCGGACATGACTTAATGACTAAACAACAACAAAAGTTTACTCTTCCAGTCAGATTGATTTATTTTGAATCATTTTAGCATGTGTGAACACCTCTGTCATTGTAAATTGCATCTGTGGGGTTTGCCACTTACTGGTGTGCCTTCTGTGCTCACTTTGGTTCTTCACCTGTGTATGTGTGTGTCTCCCTTCTTTGCAAGCCTGGAAGTGTCAATCTAGTCAAAATGCATATCAATATCTTATAAAAATGTCTGCTCGGTTTCAGCCCTGCTTTGTATCTCCCTCCTTTGCAAGCCTAATCAGTTTTAGTCTGGGCTGGGCATCTCCCTTCTTCAAGGGCAGCCAGTTTCAGCCTTAGCTTCAGCCCAGATCTTGTCTCCTTCTCTATCCCGACCTCTTCTGTGCACATCTGTCTGGCTATGTGCACAGGTGCTGGGATGTAGAGAAAGCTCTGTTTCATCTTTTTTAACTGACCTATTCTACCACTACTTCAGCTAGCAAGAAATAAAAATATTAAAAATAACAGGACAGCAGCAGTGTCTAGTAGCTGTGAGAGGCAGCCAGTATGAAGGCAAGCAGGTGCAGGACAAAGCCTCCAATGCAATGATTTCAAAAGCCTCCTCAATGGATATACAACACAGTTCTTAAAAAGTTTTTTCCAAGAGGATACATACACCAACCCCCAAACCACGTGACTACTACATGATTTTGAAACCAAATTCACTCAGTTTATTTCAATAGTGTTACTGCTAACTCATACTTCTTTTAGAGAAGAAAAGGCTAGGCTATGAATATGGAATGAAAAGAAAAAGTAAATGAAAGGAGAGGGCAAAGTAACTTCCTTGTTTTTATTGCCACCCACACAGTGTCATATAGGTCCCAGGGAAATAGCTGCACACCACATAGACCATGTGGGATCATGCTGCAGGACTGCCCGGTACTTCTTTTGACCATTCAGTGGTTCTCAGCTTTACTTCCTGGATATTATAAGATTTCAGTCCGTAGGAGCCCCAGCCAGTGTGGACAATGGCTGGGGATTATAGGAGTCGTAACACAGTGCTGTATAGACCTGGGGGGCTATGGCACATTTAAAGGAGGTCACAGATTGGAAATGATTCTTCACACACCACCTTATAAGGTTCGTTGTGCAACTTCTACAATCCTGATTCAGCCTATATTTCTTTCATATTGTGCTTATGGCTGCAGCCAAAAAAAAAAAAATAATAAAGTTGAGAATGACTGGTACAGTTCTATAATACATATTAATAAGCTAAATGTTATCCCTTCTGTCCCACTCAACCATCATCCTCACGACTGCTGTTAAGTCTACTATGTCCTTAAGATCAAGGTATGGCGCTATAATTCAATGATTTAGGTATCCATCTGCAGAGCCCTTGATTGGGAGTTTAATTCCTCACTGTGTTTCAAGGAAATACAACTTGTCTGTCTAGCCTTGGTCAAGGTGGACAGTCTCAGAGCATCCGCAGGAAAAAAAAAAGAATGGCAAACCACTTCCAAGTATCCTGCATCTAGAAAACTCTGGAATGGGTTATCATAAGTCAGAATTGACTTGATGGCACATTATTATTATTATTTACTGTTTACAGGGAGGGGTTAAGCATATGGAATTTGTGTGCATGCACTCTCATGCAAACTAGTCTTGTTTTTTTTTCTTTACTGAAATGAAGTACCACAGACATAGAGAGCAAGCACAGAAGGACTGGTTAGCTGATCAAAAACATACGAACAACTCAACTGATACTTGTAATATTTTTAAGTTCATGGGAAAAGACAACAACTATCTAATTCTGGGCAACTGTGAAAATTACCCCAAAACATTATTACAAATGGAAGATCCCTCATTAACTCTCATTGATCGCTGTCAGAAAACATCTTGCTGTCTCACAAACAGACAAACAAACAAACTTTTTTTTGCTATTTTTCTTTCTCATGTGCAACCACAAGACAAGCAAGAATTTACATCCCTTACTACTTGGCCTCTCCAGATACTGTGGTTTAGGGAGGTTCAACCGCTCAGTTGCTTGCTTGAACCATCTCTGGGGCTCAAAGCCTCTTGTTGTTCCTCTAGCATGCACGAGGGTGGGATAAGGTTAGGGGTATTGTCTTACCGTGCTGGGTGCCATTCCTGGGTGATCCGCGAGAAAGGCTGTCGCCACTGATCTGGACCTGCACACTGCCAATGTGGCCATCAGGCAAGAGGTCAGATGGGCCATGCGCTGGCTGCTTTAGTAGATCTGTGAGTGTTCTAGAAAAAGGTACAAGGGAATGTTAAACTACACCATTAGGAGAAAAAAATCTTGAGCTGCTGTTGCTGCTGCTTTAAGTTTCACACTTTTCTTATACAGTGGTGCCTCACAAGATGAATGCCTCGCGGGACAAAAAAACCCTGCAAGACGAATGGTTTTTCCGATTGCTGTGGTGCCTCACAAGATGAATGCCTTGCGGGACAAAAAAACCTGCAAGACGAATGGTTTTTCCGATTGCTGTGGTGCCTCACAAGATGGCTTCTTCTATGGCCATGCTTGACAAGACAAATTCCCCCCCCCACAAGACTGATGCCTTGCAACATGAAAATAATGCATTTCTTCTATGGCCGTGCTTCACAAGACAAATTCCTCCCCCCACAAGACTGATGCCTTGCAACATGAAAATAATTCATTCGTCTTACAATGCATTCCTATGGGAAACCCCTTTCGCAAGATGAAAATTTTGCAAGACAGTGCTACTCGTGGAACGAATTACTTTCATCTTGCGAGGCACCACTGCATATGGTTCCAGGTCAGATATTGCCTACTGTTCTTGTTTGGTGTTTGTTTTTCCAGACATTTCCAGTTCACAGAGCAATACATAAGTAAAAAGATGGCTGCCTGTCAGGGACATTATAACAGCAGTTTCTTGTACTGGAAACTATTGGACTAGATGATCTTTGTGTTTCATTTTACACTATTATAAGCACGGAGGAATCAAAATCTTACGGAGATTTTAGTGACAAGCCCCCCCCCCCTTGGAAACATATCTTCATGGTGTTCACCCAAGTAAGGGAACAGAGAGTTGTACTGGACTGAGCCTCACAACTGGTCCATTTAACACTATCTACTGCAGAGGTAGGCAAATGCAGTCTTTCAGATATTGATGGAAGAATGCAACTCACAGCATTGATGGGAGTTGTTGTTCAGTAATCTTTGGAGGAGGGGAGCTCTGTGAACATTATTGACTGCCAGAAAAACAAACAAATCAAAGCAATCCTGAACTTTGTCTAGAAGCAAAAATAACAAAACCGAGGCTGTTGTACTTCAGGTACATCATGAGAAGTCACGATTTGCTGGAAAAGACGATAATGTTAGGAAAGGTTGAAGGCAGCAGAAAAAGAAGGGGATCAAGCATGAGATGGACTGCAAGAGCTTAACAAAGCTGTTGATGACAGAACATTTTTGAAGTCGCTCATAGGGTCAACATAAACTGGAGGCAACAACACAACAATGAAGATTTGGAGAGTTGTGCTTTGCTTCCCTACCCTCTTGGTCTATTGTGACCATCAGCAACTCCCAGATCTGCTGCCTGAAAGGGAGATGCTAAGGACAGTTTCTGGGCTCTTATACTTGCAAAGCACCCAATCTTAATGATAAAACAATGTGAGCTGTCAAATAATCTCTCAAGTAAATTATGGTAGCTTCTAGGATCAATCTTTAAACCAGAGTAAAATAAATCCCTAGAGGGAAATACTCCTGCACTGGCCAGGACAGCAGACTACAATCTCTCCTGGATTCTTGTATCTTTTCCCTCAACTCCCTTTACAGTATATCTTCAGCATAGAATGTCAATGACCTTCATGTTAGGAATGTCTATAATTTGTTGCAAATTTGCATTTGAAACATTAGGATCATCTCCATGATTCCCAGGAGCTCCTTGGCCAACGTGCGTATGCTTGCCATCGTGCTATTATAGGAACTGTTCTACCACAAATCGATCTGTCTTCATGCATATTAGCACAGAAGGAAGCCAGATGGCATTAGCTTCCTGGTGGGTGATTCCTGAGCAAAGTGGACAATTGCAGTAGTGTTTTCTTTTTAAAAACACACACCTAATGGCATGAGTTTCTCTTCCCACGACACAAGCTATTTACTGTGAAATGTGAAGAAATCTTCAGAGTTAGCGAAGACGCCTCATATTCTCATTCCAAGCCTTAATGATGGTGGTGGCTAGCCTTTCTACTACACTCCAGGATGCTGGTTGATGGGCTTGTCCCACAGCACATCACATAAGGTTGGAAGTCACTTTTTCTGGATTCCAGGTCCCAGAATGTCCCAACAAGCATCAAGCATTCTGCAAAAAGTAATTTTCCTCCTCTTTCCTTTGCATGTATGGGTCCCTGCTTTGGCATGCCAAATCCATTTGCTGTCTCCTAAGTGCAACAGTCATATATGCGTGGACAGGAAGGTGAGCGATAGGAAGAATCTGCCCAGATTCCTAACCACTGTTGGGATATGTGTATCTGAGGGGGAACAAAATGGTGTTCTCAACCCTGTGCTGGCAATGATGAAAATAACAGCTCTTTACTACAAAGTCGCTCCTACAAATCCCTTCTCCTGGGTGCGCTTCTTGGGAAAGTAAAATTAGGCACTGGGAACGTTGAGTTGCAATAGACATAAACACACACCCCTCTGCCTTCTCATGCCTTTTGTGCATTTAGGGACACACATTTCTCTAGGTAATGCATACATTTTCCTCTAACATAACACAACCTGGGATGTGTGTATATTGCTTGCGGGGGCTCCCTTGGAATGTTGCAGTTTCCCAAACTTGGAAATGTTGCCTTTTGAGGACTTCAGCTCCTAGAATTCCCCAAGCCCGTATGTTCAACAACTGGAAGATTTTGGGAGTTACTGGTTATAGAAGTTTCAGAGCTGCAGTCCAAAAGATTAACTCTTCTAAATTCCTCCTAAGATGACCACTTGTACTTTCTGAGGAAACCTGCTTTAAACAGGGAGACTCTTTGCTTTATATATAATTATTTATCCTGTACAACAGCCTAATAGTACAATCAAAGCATTCAAAAAGTTCAGTGCACTTGAATACACTAAGGGCTTGTGTACAGGTGGTGATTGGAGTGGGCCGGAATGGACTAAATAGGGTTGCTAGGAGGGCCAATGTGCTAGTTGGTGCAATCCTCACATCCAAATGGCTTATGGACCTCAAGTGACTCTACTTGGTTTGCATCAGCCCACTGTCAACTTGCTGATATTATGTATTAGCTTGAGAAGAGATCCACTTCACCACAATGGCAAATTAATCACTTTCTCAGGTCCATGGAGGGACTGAGGAAGTGAAAAAAAATGTTGTTGCATCAGAGCAGTAAATATGTGCTGCATCATTTTTAAAACACCATTTGTTGTTATTTAGTCGTTAAGTTGTGTCCGACTCTTTGTGACCCCATGGACCAGACCATGTCAGGCCCTTGTGTCTTCCACTGCCTCCCGGAGTTTGGTCAAATTCATGTTGGTAGTTTCGATGACGCTGTCCATTGAACACCATTAGGTATGTGCATTACGAGTTAGGTATGTGTATCAGGTACACCCGCCAGAATACCTACCTTACCTGCCTGTATGCTACCAAATGTGATGCTGCACATATTTGCTGCTCTAATACACACATTTTTTTTCCGCTTCCCCTTCCAGGAAGTGCCAATATTATGAAGTGGCTCTTCTTCATGATATTGAGAAATTAAAAGAGGAAGGCTAGCTTTGGATCATTTCCTGTGATGACACACATATTAACCGACCAGATAGGCAGGATATAAAATAAATAAATGGACCAAAACAGTGTGATCCCACCTGGATCAAAAGAGTAGAAGTCCCTGATGGGGGGGGGGCAGAAAGGTGTGGGCTGTTTCACTCCAGCAAAGATATCATTTGTTTTTAGGAGTGAACAGCTGATCCCTACAGTGGACCAAACAGCAGTCCAAATGCCTGCATAGTCAGCCTCTAAATTTCTGAACTGTACACAAGGAACTGCACAGACATGGGTGCTCAAGTCTCGGCAAAGACTTTGACTCTCATAACTTATTGTGACAAGGCTAAGCTATTGTTATGAGCTCTGGAAAACAACAAGCCAGGGAGCGCAAACAGAGGGCCAAGTAACTCCGTACATCCCTCTAGCCAAAACCAGTGTGAGCATCGGCTTGTTGGCTAGCAAGCCTGTGAAAGCAAGCAGCCAGCACATGAGTAACTCAGTGCCCACAGGGGCCCTGGGATAGAACAGTGGCATGGGCAGCATCTTGCAGCCTTGTGATATAGAGAGAAGGAACACACACTCATGCATGTATTTTTCAAATGTACACATAAGCATACACGTCAGCTATTCCAAATTAAGCTTTACTTGTTCCTTTTTCTGCCAATGACTCATGCTGCCATCTAACTTTCGAAGGCAGTGATTCTCCCTCCTCTGACCACCTTGAGGGGAGGGGACTTTTGTTTCTTTAGTGCAGAAAGAGGAAAGGGAAAGAAGGCATACATGGCAATTTAGAAGACTATCATGGGCACTGGGATGTGGCACCACTTGTTTTTTCCATGCTGTATTCTCCCAGGAAACATTTTAGCTTTAAAAATGCCTTGTGTCTTGCCTTTTCTGTAGCTTACTGAAAATGAATACATATAGCAAGAAAATAAACAGAGGATGCTGTAATTTCATCGACATATTGGACCAGGCAAAAATCAGAGTCTGAACAGTGTTTCAGAAGGTCCACTCCTGGGACTGACCTCATATCTTAAGTTCATACAGAATTAACATGCCATGCCAATCTTACCTGCCATTCATCAGTAATTACACCAGTGTGTGTAGTTTGTGTCTTTTCTTACAAAATTACACCGCCCCCTGCAACAATTTCTCTTAAAAATATGAGACAGTGCTGATTAGATACATTTGCCAATCAAAACCTCTTCTTTCCCCACTCAAGTCAGAGAAACACACTGGGGCGTAGGGTAGCCACTTACACGTCATTAAAAGGAGGGCAGTTCTTCAAACCATCTCCCTACAAAAGGCCTTATAACCTCCAATATTTTGTTCCACTATAATGCTGCCCTAGTTTAGGATTGTGGATAACATTATAGTAAAACAAAATATTGTTCAGAGCTTTTTACAAACCTTCATATCTGCATCACACAAAAACGTCTTAGCCGCAACAGGTAAAGATCCTTCTATAGGCTTGAAGCCTAGTCCTGTTTGATGCCTCCCTGGGTTAAAAAAACA